CACTGAGGCTCAATGAGAGCGGCAAGTCTACTAGCAGGGGGAGGTGAGATTTGACTTGTGCCTGGCTCATTCCAAAGCCCTTAGCATAGTTTTTCAAAAGCATCCCTCCCCACCTCTTTCCTTCTCTCCCTCCCTCCATGCATGCATGCATTCATTCATTCCAACACACACTCCCTATGCTCAGCCCCATGCTGGGTGGTGCTGGGGACACAGTGATGATTAAGACAGCTCCTGCCCTGCCCTCAGTCCACAGTGGGGCTCACATTTTTGTATGTGTGTGTGGGACAGGCCTATCCCCACACAATGATGATCCAGAGAGATCAGTGCTGGGTTGGAGGAGCTCAGGGGCTGGGAGAGCCCAAGGTGTTGCTTCATTCAGCCTGAGAGAAACAGCACTTGCAAAGGCTGACATGCCATCACGCTGCATTGAGAAAGCTGCAAAATCCTGGATGAGTGTGTGTGTGTGTGTGTGTGTGTGTGTATGGCTGAGTGGGAAGGGGCATGTGGCTGGAGAAATGGGAGGGATCATGTGGTTTTGAGTTCTGTTGGGACAGGGTCTGGGTGACGGAGGGTCCAGGGTTGTGAGAATCCTGTAGCCACTAGCCACATATGGCTATTGAAATATGTTTAAATTAATTAAAATTCAATGCCTAAAAAAGCTTAGTTTTCTCAAACTAGCCACTTTCAGGTACTCAACAGCTCTATGTGACTAGTGCTTAGAGCAGATACAGAACATTTCTACCACCCTCACAGGAAGTTCTATTGGACTAGGGACCAGTAGGGGGCAGTGCCAGGTGAGATTTCTAGGTCAGCAGGAAGCCAGAACATCAAGTCAGGGTGTGTGTGTGTGTGTGTGTGTGTGTGTGTGTGTGTGTGTGTGTGTGTCCTGGACACACATCATCAGATTGTCAAAGGTGACAGCATCTTTTAGAGTCCCCAGGTTAGGGTGAGAGAGAAACCTTTGAACCACCTGGAGGGGCGGTGTGGCCAGGGGTGTACAGGTGTCCAAGCAACCACAGACTTCAATGCTGCCCAGTTGCCATTATAAACACTGCCCTATAAACAGTGCCAGCTCATGCATAAAGTCAGTTATTCTGGATTTTCCAGTTGCAGAATCTCCTCTCCCTTTCTCTCTCACTCGAATAATGACTTTGACTCCTTTTGCATTATTAAAATAAAGTCTAGTTTTATTACAGAAATTTAGACTGTGTAGACTCAAAAAGAAGAGAGCAAAATTCAACCGTCTTCCAATTATCCAGAGAGAGACACTGCTGCTAATACCAGAGGTCCCGGCTTCCATCCCCTGTCCTGACCTTCATCCCTTCTTCCCCAGCCCCAGAGGGCGGGTCCTGATTGGTCCAAGCCTCCAGGTGATCCCAGTCTTCTGGCCAGGGATTGGTTGAGTGCTGGGTTGTACTGGCCAATGAGACCTGAGGGGAGGCTGCTGGGGAAGCTCACGCAGGATCTGGTGGGCTGCTTCTCCAGATCCTGATCTGGCTGTGATGCCCGGAATGCAGCCGCCATCTTGGTACCAGCCTGAGGACAATGCCAGTATGTGGAGGAAAACAACAACAGCAGAGAAGCAGAGCTGAACTCCACACGTGGTACCTGGAGTAGAACCAGGCAATCAAGTTTCTTGTTTTTAATCCCAGCCCAGGAGGGGGCGGGGGTGGGGTGAGGTGGGGTGGTGGTGTGTGCTTTCTGCTGTTGGTGCCTGAAGCACCCTCACCATCACATTTTTATATACTGACAAAGATTCTCATTGACTGAAATCTACTCAGGTTCCCCTGAACTTCTTTCCAACTATGCCTGACTGTTGGACTTGTGTTCCTCTCTGCAGTGTCCAATTTTAGCAAGAATCATAAGTCAGTTTAACCAGAAACCCCCACCCTTGACATCTGATTACCCTTGATATCTGATCAGGTTCCTCACCCTCCACCATCGCCCAGGTCATGTCGATCACCCTGGGCTGCCTTCAGCAGGAATCCTGCTGGCTCAGTTTACCCAGAATCCTCCCTTCCCCAGATGTTTCCTCTTAGTAATTTTCCACCCACTGACCTCCACCTGCTCCCTGGCTATAAATTCCCACCTGCCCGTGCTGTATTTGGAGTTGACTCCAGTCTCCTCTACTGCAAAATCCCATCGCAGTGGTCCCTACACCTGTCGCCATGGTCCCTTCCCCTTGAATAAAGTCTGCTTTATCATGTTTTAACTCATGTCACTGAACAATTTTTTTCTTTAACAGTTAGATTATTTTTTTCTTTAAAAATTCACCCATCCTTAGCTTCATGAATTTAATGGCTTCCTGAAAATTCTGCCAGTAAGATCCAGGAAATGAAAAAAATTTCTATAAGAATTTAAAGTTTTTTAAATTGTGGTAAAACACACATAAAACTTACCATTTTAACAATTTTAAAATGTACAATTCAGTGGCATTCAGCACATTCACAATGCTGTGCAACCATCACCACCATCTATTTTCAGAACTTTTTTTATCACTCGAGTGCAAAAGGAAACTTTGATCCAGTAAGCAGTCACTCTCCATTCCACCATCCCCCTCCTCTTTTCTATCTCTATGGACTTTTTGTTCTGGACATTTCATATCAATGGAATCATGCATTATGTGGCCTTGCGTGTCTGGCTGCTTTCCCTCAGTGTTCTCAAGGTTCACTCATATTGTAGCGTGTTTCAGTGCTTCATTCCTTTNTCCCAAGCCAGTTCTTAACCATCGCACCACTCTGCCAGCCCCAAAACAACTTTTTTATATGCCAAAATTTCAAACTTAGAGAAGAGTTGCAAAAATGGTACAAAGAACATCTGCATAATTTTTACTCAGATTGTCCTATTATTTTTACTTCGTTTGCTTTAGCATCTGTCCTCTCTCTCTCCCTCCTTCTTTCCTGCATGCATATATATATATTTTCTGAACCATTTGAGGGTAAGTTGCAGATATTGTGCCCATCACGGCTAAATACTTCCAAGTATTTAAATATTGCCATTTTTTATTTTTTAATGCCATGGCCCAGAATGCCATGTTAAGTTGCCTCCAGCTCTGCCAGGGCTCTGAGAATCTTTGAGATTCTTTGAGAATCACTGGCCATAGTAGGAAAAAAGCTGGTCACAGGGTGAAGACACATGGAGTCTAGTTCTGGTTAGGTTAGGGAGCTTCCAAGTCACTCAGGCCTGGGTTCTTATCCTGGGAACCTATTGCTACTCACAGGCTAGTTCTATGCCATTTGGCAAATGAGTACATGTCCCTAAGCCTTTTTCTAGAGACTAGGCAAACTATGGCCCGAGGGCCAAATCTGCCCCATCACCTTTTAGTTCTGCCTATGAGCTAAGGAGATTAACAGAAATGGCTTATGTGCCTCCACTGCCATGGCAGACATTATTAATCAATCACAGCATCTTATCCCACTGAACTTAGACGCAACCTCTAACTCCTTTTCCACCGAGCTCTCTAGTGCCTAGAGCAGTGCCTGGCACATAGTAGGCCCTCAACAAATATGTGACCAATTTACTGAACAGAATTGGGTTGGGAGGTGAAAGCCGTGTTAACCTAAAAATAAAATGCCAACTGAGAGGCAACGAGCATTTATTTGAGATAAAAAAGAATAGCTAGCAGGAAACGCTGATTCAGGCAGAAACCGTTGATTCAGGCAGAAACCAAAATAGTGTTCTGATTAGGAAACAAAGCCAACGGGTATTTATGAGAGAGGCCAGGGGAACAATTACATCAATAGGAAGGAAGGCATTTCTATGGGTGCAGATAAGCCAACATAGTGATGTTAATTCTAAAGAATGTTTTTAAGTTTCAGCCCAGTAGTCATCATCCAGTAGTCATACTCTCTGCTTTCTTGTTATCTTTGCAAACTGTGCTTTGGGGCGCAATATTGCTTTAGTCCCAGTCCAAAGGTTATCTTGCCCTGTTTTAACATTCCAAAGACTTGAGGCATAAGAGCCTTTGGATTCTCAGCTTCTGTTTCCGTGTCACAGTGGCCCCATTTATGTTATTTTTTACAGCTGTTTGCCACCCCGAAATTAAAGTTTATAGGGAGAAAAACGAGTAGGGTGATGAAGGTCCAGAAACCACAACACATAAGGGAGAGTTGAGGGAGGAGAGGAGGTTACTGCCTTCATTTTTGGGGGGATTGTGGAGACGCAGAAAAATTAGACATCTTATCTGCAGCCAGCTCAGAAGCAAGGTCAGAAAATTCTGAAGAGCTGATCTCATGAGGCAGGAATTTTTCATGAACAACTGTCTTCTGGGAAACAGGCCCCAACCTCTCTCTCCCCTCTCTGATGGCTTTGCCTACTCACCATCCACTCTACTTCTTTGGCAATAGCATCTGGTTTCCTTTGGGGAACCCCCTCCCCCAATCTATTTGGTCATGTGGAGCTGATTCTATTTCCAGCTCCAGGGCTGCACAAATAGCACACGTTGAGCCCATTATAGCATTTGAGCTCCTGGCCACAGCAACTGGTCCCGTGTAAGGACATGTGATTTCAGGCAGGCTTGGGTCTCAATAACAAGGTGCAGTCTTTCCTCTGTTGGGGCTCAACTGGTGGGATATGAGCTTGGAGTCGCTGAGAGCTATCTTGTCACAGCACAAGGGGAGAACCTGCCTGAGAGTGAAGCCACCATAGAGAAAAGCAGGGTTGAGAGATGTATGGAGGAGTTTCTCGACAAAATTGAGTAACTGGATCCAGCCATACCTGAAGGTCACATAGGACACACACACACACACACACACACACACACACACACACACACACACAGAGCTTTCTAATTCTTTGTAAACCAGTTCAAGGGTCGGGTTTCTGTCCCTTGCAATGCAGAATTCTGCCTAATATAGGACAGAAAGATTCTTTTTCACCCCAGGTGTTCCAAGATTTGATGAGATTGTGTATGATTCGGATGGTGTGACTCAAGGAAGAATCAATGAATGGGATTGATTGAGAAGGGAAGGAGGGAAGACAGAAGGGAAGTGGAGAGAGGCCTGGGGCCCCTGTACCTGTGGCTCCGGCTCTTGCAGCCTTTTGTCACCAGGAGATAGGCAATGCTGCCAATGAAGAGGGACACAGCGGCAACAGACCCGATGATGATGGTAGCCATGATCCCGGTGCTCATGGGCAGGCGTGTAACAGGCAGCTCCGTATGCTTTTCTGAGGATTATGAGAGAGAGAGAGAGAGAGAGAGAGAGAGAGAACTGTGGGATGTGTCAGAAGGGCCTGCCCCTGCCCCCCCTGCATCAGTGACTATCCACAGAACACTGATGTATCATTGCATTTTCCCAGCCAGAACTTTCTTTTGCTTTTCAGAGCTGAGTATCCAACTGTCTGATTGATTCCACTGAACATGAAAACCCAGCGTATCCCAGATGCAACTCTGCGGTTCTCCCACCTCCAAATCTCTGCTTTCCTAGGATTTCCTACCATCTTCAGCACACCCAAAACCTACCTCCTCATATGTTCCCCACCTCTACCCTACCTACCTGCTTCTTCTCGTCTCAGTTGATGACACCTCCATCCTTCTAGTGAAAGGATGAGGTTCTGATCTGGGAGCTATCTCGTCACAGCACAAGGGGAGAACCTGCCTAAGAGTGAAGCTACTATAGAGAAAAGCAGAGTTGAGAGGTATATGGAGGAGTTTCTTGACAAAATTGAGTCCCTGGATCCAGCCATATCTGAAGGTCATGTAGGAAAAAACTAGGACATAGGGGACTCTATTAACAGTGTTCTCAAACTCAACATGCTAGATTTGGGATGAAGCCTACCTGACTTCTGGCCCCTACCACGAGGACCTCCAACGTTTAACCTCAAGTTGGACACCTGTGATGTCCCAGCTGTTCTTGGCAGCTAAGTTCATAGATTCAGAGGTCAGAATACTGCGGTTCAAGTCCCTGCTGCCTCCTGGCTGTGTGACCTTGGGCAGATTACTCAACCTCTCTGTGCGTCAGTTTTCCCATCTGTGAAATGAGGACAATAAGAATATCAACTTCATAGGGTTATTGTGAAGATTGAAACAATTTACTTACACACACACACACACACACACACACACACACACACGCAATGTTTTCCCAATTATCCAACAAAGTAAATTCTGGGCCATTTTACAGATGAGGAAACTAAGGCACAGAGAAGTGAACTGACCTGCTCGAGGGCTCACAGTTAATGCAGTGCTGGGATCACACCCAGGCCACTTGAACTCCTAATGACCACTCTGTGTGGCTTCCAAAAGAGATGCCTAGGTCCTGAGAACACTTGGAGGGTAGGAATGAGCTATTTCAGGCTTTGAGTCAGTAAAGACTGTTATTTCCAAACAGACTAGAGTGTCACCATATATATATGTGTGTGTGTGTGTGAGTGTATGTGTGTAATCAAATTAATACATACGAGGTCTGACACTTAAGCTTGCAAACTTGTTGCAATGATGTTGCTGACCTTTTTTGATATCAGAGGGATTATTCATTATGAATTTGTATCAACTACCAAACAGTTAACCAAGTTTACTATTTGGAAGTGCTGAAAAGGCTGCGTGAAAAAGTTAGACGACCTGAACTTTTCGCCAACAATTATGGCTCTTGCATCACGACAATGCACCAACTCACACGGCACTGTGAGGGAGTTTTTAGCCAGTAAACAGATAACTGTATTGGAACACCCTCTCTACTCACCTGATCTGGCCCCCAATGACTTCTTTCTTTACCCAAAGATAAAGGAAATATTGAAAGGAAGACATTTTTTTAAAAAAGAT